TACCACTGAAAGGGATGGTAGGATCCATCGTATGGACGCCAAAATAGTTGAAGAATGGGTGGGTGAATCTCAAAATTTTCTACCTACCTTTCAACTAAGAATCGCATTCCCTAATTTTAGAATCATGATTCAAGGATCCTACTTGAATCAGAACCGAACCAGATCTGAACCAAAAGATAAGGGAATAATTATACCTGATCCAGAGAAATAATATCTCCCAAAGTTGGTGTTCACGCCCAAAGAAGGCACCAAGATCTACTCCTGCTAAAGATGACACAGCAAATGTGGAACATAACTAGCAGAGTGCGTCCTACACACTGAATCCTTCACAAGAATCCTTTGGAAGACAATGAGCACCAAACAGAATCAGCCTTTCAACAAAGACTGATATCAAGAACTTTTCTTGATCTTTCTCTGACAGAGAAAATGAACTACAATTGATAGTGGCGGCTGCAACAGGAGGGAACTAGAGAAGAAGATGGCGAACTGCTTTTTCTTCTCGAGGGTTTCTAAGATCCTATCACACAAAATTGCAGGATGTGTTTTGTGTAAATCCCCTAGGTTTCGATTTCTTGTAAAAAATCGAATAGGGTTTCCTCCAGTTGCTTAATGATTAAAAAAAAGATCTCCTGATCATATCATGAGTTGCCCTTATCCAAATCTCAGATCCGCCCCTTGTTAATGACTGATCAAATCAGCCCAGTTCGAAATGGGCTTTAGGCCCAAAAAGGTTATGTGCTCCAATGTCTTCCAAATTGCTGCCCAGTTGGRCTTCTTTGTATGGCGTGGGACCCAAGCATTGATCTACTCTCCAGTCACATGGGTTCGGCCCATCCTTTGTTACAAGGCCTGGCCAAATTCACTGGAGAGCCCAGTGAACCCCTTGAGCCCATCATATGGAACCTATGGGCCCAACACTTACACTAAGTGGTCCCTGGGCCAAGCCATCTTATAAAAACCCTGGGACTGTGGGCAGGTGCAAGATTAGCCCATCAGGTGTTATCCCAAATGGTCTTACACTTAATCTCTCAGCCCATAATGGTCAAGCACTGCCCGACAAGAGAGGACCTCTCCCTCGGCT